AAAAAGTAAGAATTTTTTTTGGTATACTGCAAAATTTCAAATGCGAATATCTCGAAAACTAATAGACCAAGTGTCATAAAATTTTCACAGAATTTTACTAACACTATTGTGCATAAACACTATGAGTTAATCGAAATCCGAGATGATAAGACTTTTTCATCAAAAAATTTTTAGTGCATTTGATCAGCTTCATTTTTGAGTTTTCGGCGGTTTTAACAGGAAAGCATACGAGTATTAAAATAATATTATATGGCGTTATATCTCGCTATATGACCTACAATTAATTTCCAATTCGGACCCTCTATCTGCCCCACACGCCGAGCAATCGTCAAAAAAGTAAGATTTTTTTTGGTATACTGCAAAATTTCAAATGCGAATATCTCGAAAACTAATAGACCAGTGTCATAAAATTTTCACAGAATTTACTAACACTATTGGCATAAAACCTATGAGTTTAATCGAAATCCGAGATGATAAGACTTTTTCATCAAAAAATTTTTTAGTGCATTTGATCAGCTACAATTAATTTCCAATTCGGACCCTCTATCTGCCCCACACGCCGAGCAATCGTCAAAAAAGTAAGAATTTTTTTTGGTATACTGCAAAATTTCAAATGCGAATATCTCGAAAACTAATAGACCAAGTGTCATAAATTTTCACAGAATTTTACTAAACTATTGTGCATAAACACTATGAGTTTAATCGAAATCCGAGATGATAAGACTTTTTCATCAAAAATTTTAGTGCATTTGATCAGCTTCATTTTTGAGTTTTCGGCGGTTTTAACCAGGAAAGCATACGAGTATTAAATATATTATATTATATGGCGTTATATCTCGCTATATGACCTACAATTAATTTCCAATTCGGACGACCTCTATTCTGCCCACAAGCGAGCATCGTCAAAAAAGTAAGATATTTTTTTTGGTATACTGCAATATTTCTAATGCGAATATCTCGAAAACTAATAGACCAAGTGTCATAAAATTTTCACAGATTTTACTAACACTATTGGGCATAAACACTATGAGTTAATCGAATCCGAGATGATAAGACTTTTTTCATCAAAAATTTTTAGTGCATTTGATCAGCTTCATTTTTGAGTTTTCGCCGGTTTTAACCAGGAAAGCATACGAGTATTAAAATAATTATTATATGGCGTTATATCTCGCTATATGACCTACAATAAATTCCAATTCGGAACCTCTATCTGTCCCACACGCCGAGCAATCGTCAAAAAAGTAAGAATTTTTTTTGGTATACTGCAAAATTTCAAATGCGAATATCTCGAAAACTAATAGACCAAGTGTCATAAAATTTTCACAGAATTTTACTAACACTATTGTGCATAAACACTATGAGTTTAATCGAAATCCGAGATGATAAGACTTTTTCATCAAAAAATTTGAGTTTTCGGCGGTTTTAACCAGGAAAGCATACGAGTATTAAAATAATTATTATATGGCGTTATATCTCGCTATATGACCTACAATTAATTTCCATTCGGACCCTCTATCTGCCCCACACGCCGAGCAATCGTCAAAAAAGTAAGATTTTTTTGGTACACTGCAAAATTTCAAATGCGATATCTCGAAAACTAATAGACCAAGTGTCATATAAATTTTCACAGAATTTTACTAACACTATTGTGCATAAACACTGAGTTTAATCGAAATCCGAGATGATAAGACTTTTCATCAAAAATTTTTAGTGCATTTGATCAGCTTCATTTTTGAGTTTTCGGCGGTTTTAACCAGGAAAGCATACGAGTATAAAAATAATTATTATATGGCGTTATATCTCGCTATATGACCTACAATTAAATTTCCAATTCGAACCCTCTATCTGCCCCACACGCCGAGCAATCGTCAAAAAGTAAGAATTTTTTTGGTATACTGCAAATTTCAAATGCGAATATCTCGAAAACTAATAGACCAAGTGTCATAAAAATTTTCACAGAATTCACTAACACTATTGTGCATAAACACTATGAGTTTAATCGAAATCCGAGATGATAAGACTTTTTCATCAAAAAATTTTTAGTGCATTTGATCAGATCTTTATTTTTGAGTTTTCGGCGGTTTTTAACCAGGAAAGCATACGAGTATTAAAATAATTATTATATGCGTTATATCTCGCTATATGACCTACAATTAATTCCAATTCGGACCCTCTATCGCCCCACACGCCGAGCAATCGTCCAAAAAGTAAGAATTTTTTGGTATACTGCAAAATTTCAAATGCGAATATCTCGAAAAACTAATAGACACCAAGTGTCATAAAATTTTCACAGAATTTACTAACACTATTGTGCATAACACTCATGAGTTTAATCGAAATCCGAGATGATAAGACTTTTTCATCAAAAAATTTTTAGTGCATTTGATCAGCTTCATTTTTGAGTTTTCGGCGGTTTTAACCAGGAAAGCATACGAGATTAAAATAATTATTATATGGCGTTATATCTCGCTATATGACCTACAATTAATTTCCAATTCGGACCCTCTATCTGCCCCACACGCCGAGCAATCGTCAAAAAAGTAAGAATTTTTTTGGTATACTGCAAAATTTCAAATGCGAAATCTCGAAAACTAATAGACCAAGTGTCATAAAATTTTCACAGAATTTTAGACACTATTGTGCATAAACACTATGAGTTTAATCGAAATCCGAGATGATAAGACTTTTTCATCAAAAAATTTTTAGTGCATTTGATCAGCTTCATTTTTGAGTTTTCGGCGGTTTTTTAACCAGGAAAGCATACGAGTATTAAAATAATTATTATATGGCGTTAATCTCGCTATATGACCTACATTAATTTCCAATTCGGACCCTCTATCTGCCCACACGCCGAGCAATCGTCAAAAAGTAAGAATTTTTTTGGTATACTGCAAAATTTCAAATGCGAATATCTCGAAAACTAATAGACCAAGTGTCATAAAATTTTCACAGAATTTTACTAACACTATTGTGCATAAACACTATGAGTTTAATCGAAATCCGAGATGATAAGACTTTTTCATCAAAAATTTTTAGTGCATTTGATCAGCTTCATTTTTGAGTTTTCGGCGGTTTTAACCAGGAAAGCATACGAGTATTAAAATAATTATTATATGGCGTTATATCTCGCTATATGACCTACAATTAATTTCCA